TTCAATTACACCACACGATTGTCAAAGGATCAAAGAATATGTTACGTTGAGCGAGAAATGCAAAGATTCGCGTGTGGAGGAGAGAGTTATTGAGGGAACTGAATGGAGGGGGGAGGGGGGAGGCCCAATTTTGAATTCGTTTCGCCGCGTCTCATAACTTCCGCGTTGCATAACTTTTGACTAGGAGAAGCTACGACTCTCGTTTACGTTTCAAACGACAGATCTCGTCAAGATCGATCGATTGTGTGTATAAAAACATTTGTGTGGCGTGGTTATGGTGAAATTGCATGCGTTTAATGTAAAAAATTAAGAAAACTTAACACTATTTCGTCCTATGGACTGCTCGTCAAAAAGGCAAGTCGAAATACAGAAATCGTATACGGTTGGAAAGAGCATCTCAAATGCAATCCAGTGTTACACATAAAACCTCATATGATCGAGTGAAGCAGTGCCGGGACCGTAAAATAAATATCAAGGCGTCCGAGCGCGTCAGCGTAGGCGTATTCACGCAAAACAAACGGCCGTGTCCCCAACACAACCAAACCTATTTTTTTATATTAATTATTTCTATAACTACCACATTATTTTTTGAACGGTTATAGCTCTCCATACAACTTTTGCTTATAATAATTATTAAAAGAGTAAATCTCGTCATTAGTAACCATAGTCATAACAGAAGTGTTTTGAAAAATGAGAAAAAAGTAGTATTAATAATTACATTAATAGTTGATAGAATTAAAATTTTGGAAAACATTAACACACTTTTCCAGTAATCAATAAAATGTAAGAAACATATGCGTTGTTGTGAGTGTAGCATTATTCTCCACGAAGAACAAAAACATTATGATGTGAAAACTTGAGTTGATGGCATGATTCAGGGAAAGGTTTGGAAAAAAAATTGCGTTTGGTAAAAGAAAAAAAATAGAGAAAAACCGACGCCAGACGCAATCTGTGCCAAGATTTACTCACTCGACCAGAAGATGATGGCTTTTCGAAAATAAGTAGAGGTTGAAGGAAGGTCTAACCACACACTACTGGACGGTATGCTGCCGCGATGGTGTCTTATGCCACAAGCTCACCGTTGCTTCTTTCGTATGTGAGAGCATGTCTCTCTCTTCACATTTGTTTCAAAGTGCGAGTTAGTACGACGGAAATACCCTGAACATGTCGACTTCGGGCAACATTTGGTGACCGTAAATGTTCATTATTTTGGTAAAGAAAAGACTCTCGGGCATGTACGGGAGTTGAATCCGGAACCTCTCGCACCCGAAGCGAGAATCATACCCCTAGACCAACAGGCCGCATGTTAGAATGAATAAAATCATTGATATATCATACTGTTGAAACATTTCCCCTCATACTCTTAATATTTTCAGAGAAGTTTGTAATCTTTAATACTAATACCCTTGTTTATTTCCCTGTTTTTTAATGTGAAGTTTTTTCATTAAAATAGCTTTAATAAGCATTAACTAAACACACTTTTCTGCTTTTGCGACGATTAAAAAAAAATAAACAGCAGTGCCCAGCAAATTACGAGAAGTGAACTGAATGTGCTATAAACAGCTAAATAACGAAAAGTTACAAAATAGGAAACTGTAGTGAATATTAGGTCCCTTGGCATCAGCTCTAGAAGTGGAACAGTGACGTCACGACTTCATTGTACTTTTCAATGAGACGAAACATACTAAGTCTGAGGCCTAATTGGAACGCGATTTGGAGGATTATTTTGTGACGATCCGAACGAACTGGTGGACAGACTACGACTATTGGTCACTTCGCAAAGGGTTGGGAATTACTCGCACACCAACGAGATTATATCCATCATCGAAGGACTGAAGGAGGGAAGGTACATACGACCAATCGATTAGGAATCGCCCACAAACTGCATGCAGCCACCAGGCGCAACTACCGCCGTCACAAAGTCATGATTTGTGGGATAAACGGTCTGTTTCAAGCCGACCTCGTCGAGATGATACCGTATGTTCGAGTCAACAAGGGCTACAAATGCATGTTGACAGTTATCAATGCCTGTAGCAAATTTGCTTGGGCCAGGCTGGTCAAGTCGAAGAATGCACGTGATGTCACCGAGGCCATCACAGATGTGTTGAGCGAAGGACGGATTCCGACCAATATGCAAACCGACCAGGGCAATAATTATACAATACAAAGTTCAAGGCCCTGATGAAGAAACATAACATAAGTCATTATTCCACATACAGTCATCTCAAAGCTTCAATTGTCGAGAGGTGCAACAGGATTCTGAAGGACAAGATGTGTAAGCATTTCGCAGCAAATGGTAGCTACAAGTGGCTTCAGATACTGCCAAAACTCGTTCGCGATTATAATTCTACAGTGAACTCGGCCACTCGCATGAAGCCCGAAGATGTCAAGAACGACTCGCTGGTTCGGACTGTGTATGCTATTCCGAAGAGGAAAGACCCACTCAAGCCTAAAGCTAAGTTTGGAGACCTGGTGTGCATCTCCAAACAGAAAGTTGTTTTCGAGAAAGGGTTCACAGCTAATTGGAGCCCCGAACTGTTTCGTGTGCGATGTATACATAACTACGCTCCGAGGACCAACTATCTCAAAGATCTGAACAACGTACCCATCCATGGCGGTTTCTACGCCTTGGAGATCCAGCCGACGAAGTTTCCAGACGTGTATTTGATGGAAAAGGTGCTGAAACGCAATAAAGAATAGGCTACATCAAGTGGTCGGGTTTCCCTGCCCGCTTCAATTCCTGGATCGCCAAGGAAGACATCGAGCAGTGTACATCGAAGAAGATTAATAAAACTAATAGATTTTTTTTGCTGATTATGTTTATTTTATTATATGTAAAGTGAATTTTGTGTAAAAAATTTTTATGTGTTTTATTTCTAAGGTACGCCTTTCATGATGCTAACTAGAGTGTGGTGGTTAGGTTAAGTGGATGTCGAGTAAAGATGAGAAATTAGCCCCTACGTGTAAATAAAATACTTAAGTCTGGGACAGTCTAAGAATTCTGTAAATAAAACAAAATAAATACTTAAAATGTAATGAAAAAAACTATGATGAGATATTTATTTGTTTTTAATCAATTTTTGGCTCTTAAATCCAAAATGGTGGCCCTGGAAGTGGGCTACATAATCGATATAATCATGATCGTATGCGCCCGAAAAGACGAGTCTGGTGATATATAACATTTAATAGTTTACTTACGCCTTAAAATTTTTTAATTATAAATATATATTTATATTAAAAAATTTTGATATTTAGAGTGAAAGGTCCACACCGGTCCGCTCTCCTGGCCTAAAATAAGCCTGGATTGCAAGTCCGCTTTGCCTGCTCCGACTGAAAATTAAACTTTTTTTTTTTGCAGAATTGAAAAAACGGGAAATTTTTAAGGAAAAAAAAAGGGAATTTTTTACGCCATTTTGGTCTAAAACATGCAATTTTGAAGGTAAAACTAGTGATTTTGAGAGAAAGAAATTCCAAAATGGTGGCCGGCTCCCACGAGAGCCTGAGCCCGAATCCTGAATCCTGTGCCAGCTCTCTTTCTTAGCCCTACTACTAAGGCATGTCACGTATTTTTATGTTGTCTCGCTTCGGTATTTAAAAAAATGTAATAATTTGTCTATTATGCAAATTTTTGGGAAATTCATAACCCATAAACAGATATAATAATAAAAACTCTGCGCCAAAATGCAACTTTCAAAGAGGTCAATTAACAAAAAAGAATACGCGAACAGATACAATCAAATATTAGGGGTACTAAAGTTCTTTATTCTAAATGCACGGGTGAACCTATGTTTTTGGTTGCTACTAGATCGGTCGCTTCAGAGAAAGGCTTTTCACAACACGTTTGGTATGGTAAGATAGGCTATAGGGTTCACTATTCAACATCAAGCTGCGCAGTCGTCAAGCCTCATCGTCGCTGAAGATATTCGAGACCTCCCGCGATAGAGCTCTCATCGTACTCGCAAGCAGATCTGGCACTAACGAGTCATGCGCTGTAGAATGTGACCGACATTTGAAGGGGTTTGTGCGTTATTGTTTTCTTTCTCATTCAGCTCATCCTCGCATCTATGCAATTTGCGCCTCTCTTAGTTGTTATAGACTTATTAATATAAGTGTGGCAATACCCGGTTTTGAAACTGGCAAAACTATACACAGTAGTTTTCTCCAGAAAATGCTCAAGCCTAATAAATATTTTTGCTAGAAAAGATTATGCCGAGATCTTCTAAAGTTAGCAACCGGTCAGTGTAATGAAGACTGGCGTTCGTTACAAATTTCTTTTTACAAACATTTTTTGTGCGGTTCTTTTATAAAAATTAATTTGTTCTGCTAATTTTCCCACTGATCGCCGGAAAATTTATTCAATTATTGGCAACCTCGAACCTTTGCTGCATGGACTATTCCACGTATTTTGGCACGAGAGTAGTGAAAGTAGCACTTCACATTGGGATTCTTTGATTAGGAATAAATATAAAAATTAATTCGTTAGTAATTTATTGTATATCTAAGATGATAAGAAACAAGTAAATGGGTGGAGCGATATTTGGGCGAATCTGAACATCGAGGCCTTGGGAGCCGACGCGGATGAAGAGAGGTGAGTATAGAGCAGCGTCGGAATGCAAGGGCGGGGGAAGCGGAAGATACCCAAGAAAACCCACCGACCAGCGATATCGTCCGGCACGATTCCCGCATGTGAAAATCCGGGAGCAACCCCACCGGGAATCGAACCCGGTTTGCCTATAGGTGGAGGGCGAATAGTCTAACCCCGTGAAACAAGTAAATGCGGCCCCGTGAAACAAGTGAATGCTACTATAATCAAAAAAGTGTAAGACTTGCAGTTTCAAAATATGTAGGGAAATAATAACACTCGCAAGTTTCTCCACAACTCATCATAAAAGAGTTTAAGATACTAAAGAGACATTTACTCATATTAATGTACCAAATTCAGTTTTATTTTGGGGAATGTTGTATAGAATACACGACTCATGACTATTATTTTTAAAGCTGGCCTGTTGGTCCAGGGGTGTGATTCTCGCTTTGGCTGCGAAAGGTCCCCGGTACGTTTCCCGGACAGGCCCGAGAATTGCATTTTTTGTCAATAATAAAACAGTTTATTAGTAAACGCTTCACCAACTAGAGGATAAACTTAAATCACTTTTTCGTAAAGAAAGTAATTAATGGTAGAATTAAGTTACAAAGAAATTTACTTACAACGGTTGCAAATTTCCGCTGTATAGATTTACTCTGGACTTACTTGCAACACGACGAGTTTTGGCGCACATTTGTGCTATTAGTAACTTTTGCTCAAAATTTAAATCAGCTCAGTTTTCCTCCCTTATTTTGACTCCAATTTACAGTACATCGCATCACTATCTCGAGTTATAAACGAATCATATTTTTTTTTTCATAGTGATAAATGATAGGTAGTATCTGCGAGAATTTATGTTAAAACTCAATGTTTTTATTTATATGGCAATATGATAAAAGGAGGTAGACGCCAGGGGACGGCTCAAATGGTAATTAAAAATTATGTGGATTACCAGCTGTTACACATAATTAGAGAACACTTATCGTTTAAAATAAGTTATATTTTTTTAAGCTAACTGACGCACACAAATTAAACAAGTCAACACAGGGCAATATCAGTATGAACAATAAAATAAAAAACTTAACATTCGGATAGAAATGATTTAATCTAAAATTTCTAAAACATATAACTTAACAGTATATTGACAGAATGTTTCTCAACATTAAATAACTCTGCACAAGTAAGGCAAGTGCATTCAAACATTCTTTAACGTTATAGAATATATACTTGGAGAAAAAATGAAGGTAAAAACTGATAACATAGGTGCAATAATCTTAATTGATATTATTACAATTTATATATTTATGTCACGTATGTTTTTCACTTTCTGCTTTACTTTTTGAATTTGTTTAGCTTTCTAGTCTCTGGTCATTCGAGTTTTTCATTATAACATAAAACCATGTTTTAACAAAGTATCTGTTGGAAAAATGTAGCTTATTTCGCAATTTATTACACTCGTTAAATATGTCCAACTTTCTTTTTGGAGATAATACCTGTATATAAGAATTGATGATGTTCCTCTACATTGTTTGTTTATTCTGTTAAAGACATTATACAAGTAATAAGACGTTCGTTCACAAGTTTATAATTCCACTTAATTAAAAAAAATCATATAAAGATCATTGAAGAAATTTAACAGGCAATAGGACTAGTATAACTGAATACCTTTGCAGTTAAGGCTACAAATAAAATTAACAGCGGGCAAATTAATTTTTTTTCTAATTAATATGACATAAATGGAAGATGGGCTGTATTTTGAAAAACTTCAATGAGTAAATAATTTAAATTATTGGAAATTAAAAATTTTGTAACACTGAAATCTTTTGATTTAAAAAAAATGCCTGCGGACATGAAAAACCTACAATGTAATGAAACCCAAGGATCTAAGAATAATTGGTAAAAAAAAAAAAAAAAAAAAAAAAAAAATGCGATAACTCAAAGAATAAATTTGGGAACTATTGCTAAGATGTGTGTTATGCGCATTATTTGTTATGGAACTTGATATGAAATGTTAACTAAACTGGTATGTATATGAAGGAGATCACTCATATCAGAAAAATGGTTTATTGACTAAATTTTATAGTTGTGAATTTGTAGAAGGATCAGACATTGCAACAGACATAAGCACTTACTGCAATATTTAGCTTATCAATTTAATATTTAATTAAAAAATTTAGCACCCGTACCCGAAAATATTTTGACCATTTTCATATATATTGGGATTTAACCCATTCAGATCAAAAAACGTTAACAAATTTAATTTTAAGAATGATTGGCGAGGTACAAATAGTTCAAGAATCTAGTAATAATAACTATCATGTACCATTTAAATAACAAGAACTCGAAAAAAATAAAGATTATAAAATGCTATGACACCAATACAAATATAAAACAATGTTTTAATTGCAAGTCAACCCAACATTTAGCAAAACATTATGATCAAAAACAAAATTTAGAAAATATCCACATTGTAAATTTTGTAAAAAGATCAATCACCTAGAAACCAACTGTTTCTTTCGACATAGAAACAATGACAAAAAGGATGTTGGCTTTGCGACCGATCAAAATGTAGTAAAATCATCGAATATCTGTTCTTTGGATTGGATTGTTTATTCAGGTTCAACATCACACATGGTGAAAAATGAAAATTTCTAATCACAAGTAAAACGCAAAGAATAGTATATCAATGAAATTCATCGGTGTTGGAAGAAAAGAACCTGGTTGTTCATTTAATAATATTCTTAAAAGATTAAAAACGGAAAATAGTATTGTTAAAATAAAATCTTCAAGTAGGGATAGAGTGTATGTTCTGATACAAGTTCAATATGGCAGCGATGCAGGTGCACCACGCACTTGCACAAGCACCTCATACATGCATATGCACTTGTACATGCACATTAATCTGCTTATGAAATTGCACATGTACTTCCCCAGCCCCCTCCCCCTCTGATCCTTCTCCTCGCTTGTGTGACTGCTAGAGAAGTCAGGAGGGTCTGGCGGTTGTCGTGGGTCGGAGGGCCACCAGTATGAGCTTTCAGCGACCGGTGGCTGAGATGGTACAGGGTTCAATTCCCGTTGAGGCTAATCAGATTTTATTTGCACGATTAGGTGCAATTGCGCTATGAGAGTAATAAAAAATGTCGACTCTCTGGCTGTCGGAGAGAGACTGATGCACATGTTGTACTTTCAGCTGCCGGAAGCCATCTGACAAGTTTGAGGGGGGAGGGGGGAAGTGTGGAAAGTACACATGTAGTTGCATAGGGGCCTCTCCCCTCGACAGTTGTCTAGAGTGAATACAGTTAATTAGTATTCGCACAATGAATGTTCGTGAAATGGTTAAGTATGCACTTTTGCAATATATGCAATTGTATAATTAGCAATTACTTATTATACGCAATTAATTAGTTAGTCACACACTTTCACAATCACCAACTATGCACTTGCGTAATTACATGAACCAAGAGACTCCGTACACATCCTCGCCATAGGACAGCTCTCTGCCGACTGACCTCCAATTGATATATCAAAGGAGGTATAGTTCTAAGAATTCGGACCTTGGTTCGAGCCCCCCTCAGGACAAAAAATGTTTTTCAATCGCGTATCTACTAAATATGGGTAAGGTGTATAGGTTTAAGGATTTGGACCTTGGTTCGATTCACTCTCTAAAAAAAATAATAATAAAATGTTTTAAATTGCGTACCGACTACATTGGAAGAGGAAGGGATAAAGGGGGGGGGGGAGGAGGTAGTTCCTCGTTATAGTCCCTGTCGACGGTAATTACATATATTCCCGCAACAAATATTTTATCATGCGATGATTAAATATGCATTTGCATAATAACTTGTTACATATACTGAGAGTCTACATACGTACCTGCGCAATTAATATATAATCGTACGGTGAAATGTTGCTATGTACAAAGTTTAATTACACATCCTCTCGCTAGGACCACTCACTTGAGAATGAGCTCCGATTATCTACATCTTTAGATTTTACCCCACGCCAATATTATTGGAATCCCAGCATACACATAGCCCACCGCAAGTCGCCGCATATCTTAACGAGTCCGAACGCGAGCCACCGATCGGCGGTAGGCATGCAATAGTGTATTTTGTCTTTGTACCGTGCTTTCCTTCTCTGGGCCGGCACATCCTCCGAGACGAGGAACTGCAAAGTTCGACATACCGTCGCTAAGGGCCACCACTTACCAGTCAACTCTCTCTCTCTTTCTCTCTCTCCCTCTCTCAGACACTATCTTCCACTCTCTCTATACACTGGCTTATCAGGAGGACATCTAGTTATGTCTCTAGCCAATTTAAATCTATGTTAAAAATGTCTGCTGATGTTCCCTAGCATAATTTCTTTTTTAAACTAATTACTTTATTTCATTTATGTTTAACATTCTACGAATCGTGTGCACACATTAAAAAAAATATATGCTGTCATTGGAAAGCGTATATATATATATATATATATATATATATATATATATATATATATATATATATATATATACAAAGTAGATTTTTTTTTAAATTCTTGCTATAAGTTTGAAACCAAACACCTTCGGTTCGCGTGACACATCCTGCATTAATTAGTCAGCACTACACAAAATATGTTACTCTGTATTAATACATATAATACGGAAATTTATTTTAAAATTCCTACTATAAGTATGGAACCAAACGGCTTCGGTTCGCGCATCACAAGTGGCGTTACTCATTGTTAATAGTCGGAAAGTATGTCAGTGAGTGAGACATGTTGAGAGTAATTAGATTTTTTAATAGCAACAAATAAATATCGAGAGTATTTGCATATCGAAAAACTACATGCAATTAGTATTAGCATAATGAGATGAAACAAAGTACCTATCAGTTGTCGAATCACAACTAGCGAGGTTGGAGACAACTGTAGGTTCGAGGAGATAATCCTTGCTTCATATCCTATCAAGGATACTTGGAGTTTATTCGCATAATGAATAAATATACAAATTAAGTAGTATTTTCGCAATGAACAAACACCAAGAATAATTTCTCCCCAAGTACACATCCTACCCGAAGCACACCTTACTTCCAGCTGACCCAAGTTTTGCTTTTGTGTTTAACTTGTATGCCTACTATGTTGTAATTATCAAATGCGCTACAGTTCAAACAATCAAACGATATGCCTTTCCAAGTCATATTTCATTCTCTCGTAGTGCGATCGCTCCTATAGCAAGTTACCACAAGACGTCGGACGACATGGGGACTAGCCAACCCCCGCCCAAACCTTCCTTCGCCAACCTGCCTTCATGTCTGGAAGGGAGAAAAATGCTCTCCGTGGCAGGTAAAGACACAGCTGGCCGCTTTACCAAGGGAAGACTGCACACAATCACTCGTCTTCGCATTTAAGATATCGCAAACTGTTTTACACATAAAGTTAATTAAAGTATATCATTATAAAAATAATACTTTTCTAATTATTACATATTAACATTTTTAAAAATTAATTAAAACCCTTACATTTACTCCAAACATACTTTACCTCAGATATGCTTCGAAAAACCAAAATGCTAATATTATTATTCTGTCTTAAAAAGTAAAATATTTTACAGTTCTCTAAATTTTTTTTCTAAATATACCTGTCAGAGAAGAATTTCAGAATTTCCCATTGAGGGTAACTACGATCTAAAACCTTGCTTCAATTTCCAACGAGGCTAAGTTTTGTATTGGTTTAGTTAACGCTTCGAACACCGTCAAAGTGAAAAGATAATAACTGTGATCACCACACTATAAACACGTCATGCCAGTAGCACATTGAGGGAAAAAAGCGTTTATTAAAACCCCTACTTGAAGGACGCCAAAGTAGGAAACAAGAGACAAACAGGTAGTTCCAGAGTCGTCGCTACATCTCGTGGTCTGTCCACACGAGGCGAAAAGTACAGTGTGGATAGCAAAAATCACGTGAATAAAGACAGTTTTTTTTTAATGTACGATCACGTGCCAAGCAGCATGGGTACACTAAGAAAATTGCCAGCACAGCAGCGGTAGAAAATATAGCTGAAAGAAGGCAGCTAAATACGGCAGCAAAAAGTAATTCGCAACACAGCAGTGGACATCCGGTTATATGAGCAAATACAGCAAGAAACACGGGCCTGTGGGCTGCTAACAAGATTAGTGTAGCTTCCGAAGTACAAATCTAAAACTAAATTGAAATCAAACTTACGAGAAAAATATTCAAACATATAAAATTGTGACAAACACTGATTAGATAGACTGAAATAGTTAAATAACTTCATTTATATAGCCAGAAAAACCAAATCTCAAAATATATAAATATTCACCAAAACAAAATATGACAAATAAATATTATACCAAAAGAATTCAATGATTAATTATAAATAAATTGATATAGTTCAAATAGAGAATAAGGGTATTATTAACTGCAATAATTAAATAAATTTAACGAGACATTTAATAATAATATTTACATTTGTGACACAATGATAAAAATAGTTGTGACGTATTTTAAAATGGCACAGTTTTCCGGCAGCAAGATTTGAAAACTTAGCCTAAGGGATGTAAATAAGGTGTGTAAATATCAATATGTTTGGGGTACGAACTGAAATGGACGTAGTTCCTTATATTCAGGTAACTAGAACATTCTGTACGAAGAGATTGTTGAAAATATAAGCGTGTCTTACTTCATAACACTTTGATAATTTGCTGTACGATTATTTTAAGGCTCTGCAAGTTAAATACCTACATGTAAGCGAGTTCATTCCATTTTTGCAAAAATCAGGAAACGAAACTAATATAAAACTAATGAAAAGTTAGAGAAATCTGAAAAAGTCTGCGTAACTGAAGAACACTAATTTGAACATGTTTCAAGTTAAATGCTCTCAGAGTGAATTGTCGGGTGAGTAATGTTTGCTCCCAGAAATACTTCAGTGCTCCTCCTGGTCTGAATAAGAGGACAGCTTGTAACTCCGGGATGTAGACGTCTAAGAGAGACCTAAATAATACGTATTCTGATTAGATGATTTGTCGTGTTTTTCAAATGAACTTTAATTTGAGTATGTTAAATGTGTGTTATGTCCGCACATATATTACATAATTTGTATATACCTATGATTTGTAACGGCGAGTTAGATCAGACAAGCCATAGTATTAAGGCCTTGAACATGGATAACATTAAATCTTATTGTTGAATAAGGAAAATTTTGCTTTAGGTAATAAAATAAACGGTAAAAAAAATGTTAAGGACAATCCTAACGAGGAGAAGGGTGGAACGAGGTAAAGTTGGTTTTAAAGACGGGGATGGAAGAGGTACGATTTATCAATAATTTTCGCAGGGAAGGAGGAATAACAATCTCATAATACCTATTCTACATTACGGAAAAATTCGACAAACGTTAGCGTCATGGAAGGAATGCTTGGGGTGAGTGGTGTTATGAAAGTAAAATCTAAGTCCGCTATTTTGACAACTGACGCCATCTTTGCCATCAGTTACGAACATAGGAATTTTATAAAAAGCAACAGAAAACACCTTTAGTCAATATCTGAGATTTTTATTATAACTATTACACGTATCGAAAGCATTTTGTATTTGATGAATAAAAACTATTCACATGTGTAGTAATTCCTTAGGTATTTTAATAATTACCACTAGTCCCATGGGCAATACATTTTTTATATCATTTTCGTTTTTAGTATCTCATCACGCATGCGAAAATCCCAAAACTTATAAACGTTCAAAAATAATATCGTTATTAAGTTTGTTTACCGCCGAAAATAGTCCATTCACGCGAAGAAACCTAGTAACGCAGCTATTGTTTAAAACCTATTGAACAGTGCTTGGCAGTACAAAAATTAATTCCTTACATTGTATTATATTGTGCAGTATGCATTAAGGGGGTTTACTGGAGTTTTCAGTTTGTTATTTTCGGTACGCATCCCATTACAAACATTTTTTAAAACAAAAATGTTGCATGGAGAATTCAAAAGAAAGTCACGAGCAAGCTCACATTACTCGTTACATGACACGTGTTTCAGTGGACGTTTAAATAAACACTTTTTTATTTGATCACCTGCGTAATATTTTCCCATTCGCACAGTTATATTGCAAGTCCCACACGAAAGTGCACGAGTTAAAATAAGAATATCATGGGCATGTCCGGAATTTGAACCCGGGGCTTGTCGAACCCTAAGCGAGAGTCATGCCCCTAGACCAACAGGCCTCGGTGCTTATGTGAAGAAAGGCTTTTAGAGAGATAATTCATCAATGCCCATGAAATTATCCACTTAACAACGGAGTTATCAATTTCCTGATGAAATCGGTAAAATTCCGTAAACACTTTTGAAAAATATAAAAGTTATAAAATCCAAATTCATAGTGCTATGATAGTTTATATTGACTGGTTACATCACCAATTTCTGATTCTCCAAGAAATAATAAATACTCCAATTACTGGAAATATATTTATTCAAAGAGAGTACAGTTTAACGAGTGAAGTACTAGAATAGTCGTTGTCGATATTCTAGCTCAGTAGATAGCAGCAAGCTTCTACACCTCAGGACCTCTGGTAGGGCTATCTGAAGAATAGTACTGACAAAGAAAATTTCTAGCACTGAGATTCTGAATCATGGAATAAGATATTGCACTAATGTTTAGAATAGCTTGCCCTCTTACTGCACCAAATTACGAACCTGCAGGCCACTCAAAAATTAAGCACGTGCGAAAAACTCTCGGTGACATACGACAAAAATTTTATATCAATTGGCAGCAAGTAAAAATTAAACTGTACATCTCTCGTGAATGCCTACGCATGGGCTTTCCGCTTAATTCTTCCTTAGCAAATGACAAGCAAAACGTTTAGCGCAGGTTCGGTGCGTACTTAATGATAAAGCTCTTTTTATCAGGGGGAAAAGCAATAAATGCTTTCCGTGTAATGTTTAAATTTACTTAGATCACATATATTACACAATCAAACTGTACATATATATTTTTATCCTATATGATCTTTGCCTAAAATCCAAGTAAGCTATATTCTTCTGAATATTACTTAACTTCACTAGTTCACATAACTATTACAGATGTTTAGAACATACACATTTGACGATCCCATTTACACCACTATATAAAAACCAAAATGTTTTGCAAATATATAGATTGTTTGGATATTTATATATGCTTAAACTTAGTTGAATTATAGTTGTTTCTGAGGAAATAAGTTATCGGTAAAACGGAGTTTAAAACACCAAAAAATTCATACCATAAAGTACTATTAAATACTTACTATTTCTTACAACTAATATAAGCCTCTCCGAAAAAATGGTGAATATAATAATCCTTGAATATAAATGCTTATAAATAATTCATTTACCGATTTCTTACAGAATTTTATGAGCATCATAAATGGGATAGAAAGCAAAAAATATTGCAATTAATTAATGTTTACAGCGAACCGGGTTCAATCCCCGGCCGGGTCACCAGATTTTCGCAAGTGGGAATCGTGCCGGACGATGTCGTTGGTAGGCGAATTTTCTCGGGGAACTCCCGTTCCCCATGCCCCCTCATTCCGGCGCCGCTCCATATTCACTTCAATCACACTCATCGGCTGTCAAGACTTCGCTGTTCAGAACCGCCCAAATCTCTCCACTCGTTCACTGACTAATGTGAGACCCTTGCGTAGCCCTTCAGGTAAGAACCAAGCAAGGACATACATCCAGAAAAACAAACCAACGACCAAGTCGTAACGCCACAAATATAAATCCCTAAGGGCTAATGGCTTTAAAAATGTTGAACAGACTAACTACCACGAAAGACACCTGATTTATGAAAAGAAAAAAAAAAACTATATTCAAAGTTCTCAATATCCTTATTACAATTTCTACCATTAATATAATACTGATACATAAATCTACCACATCTACAAGACGGCAATTATTTTTCCTTTGCACATAATGTTTGAAATATTATACATTTGAAAATTTTTTCAAAATACAAAATATCAGATAACGGCCTTTTATCATTTTCTGAAGACAAAATTTCATGGACAATATCCGGGTAACATCCCCGCAATTTTAAATATTTTTGGTCTTTTGGCTAGTTAAAACAACTGCTATAGCCAATCAAAGCCTCCTCTATCTGGAACATAAAATCGGCTAAAATTCAAACAAAAGCCTAATGTGATAAAACGTGGACACAATCTCTTACATTAAAACTTTATACATAAAAGTTTTAAAATTGTGGTTTGCAAAGAGTATTGTATTCTATTAAAAACTGGGAATTCTTTTAATTCCATAACAGTGGAATTTAAGGTACTTAATCTCTGACATTAGCACGAGGTATTCTTCTCACAACAAATGTTTACTTTATGCATTAACATTTTACAATGCGCGAAAATAATTATCTTTTGAAATTTCTACAATCAATTATATTGTGTGCTAAAATTTTATACTACCAGGAAAATTCCAATACTCTTCAAAATTTCTGGGTAACAACACCCATTTATACAGCAAACTGGCCTTATGGCCCTAATGTTGTGTACTAATCTCATATTCTGCAGCTGTACTGGTAAACCCCCACTGGCCAGGTCTCTCCCCCGCCCAGCCCGCAGGAGGGACTATTTATTGCCAAAAAATTAACAGAGGAATATTTCCCCACCAAAACTTCTTATTGGCTTAAACTGCCCTCCGATCAATAATAATTTCCGGCGAAACCAGCGCCACCTTTATCAAAAATATACTACGAGATAAATCATTATAAGTATAGATTGTTCTGGAGATCCCATTATTTCCGGCACAGTAGCACCATCTATACGGCTGTTGCCCACAACTGGCCGCCGTCCAGCACTTCCAGTGCCCCAAACGGGCAGGTTAGTAAACACACAGGCAAAGATGCACTGGCACTCCTGCACGGGTGCGCGAGCCAGGTGGTCGCACATGTCTGTTGTTCAGGAAATGTCACTGCAGCAACACGTATTTCCGGCACAGTAGCACCATCTATACGGCTGTTGCCCACAACTGGCCGCCGTCCAGCACTTCCAGTGCCCCAAACGGGCAGGTTAGTAAACACACAGGCAAAGATGCACTGGCACTCCTGCACGGGTGCGCGAGCCAGGTGGTCGCACATGTCTGTTGTTCAGGAAATGTCACTGCAGCAACACGTATTTCCGGCACAGTAGCACCATCTATACGGCTGTTGCCCACAACTGGCCGCCGTCCAGCACTTCCAGTGCCCCAAACGGGCAGGTTAGTAAACACACAGGCAAAGATGCACTGGCACTCCTGCACGGGTGCGCGAGCCAGGTGGTCGCACATGTCTGTTGTTCAGGAAATGTCACTGCAGCAACACGTATTTTTTTCTCGTTCGATGTCAAGACACATCATTTCTTCAAACGTAGTGTGTCATAAAATATAATTAAATAATAAACATGTTAAATGAGGGAGTATTAAGAGTAGCAAAAATGTGTAATATGGCTGGGATGGCGATCGGCCGACAAAACAAGCAAACTTGTAGCAGACAGGGAAGTTGACGGTAAAATTGGAGTGGCGAAAATTTGTAGTCATGAGACTCCTTGTCTTAAATGATTATAGTTTCATTCAATTTGCCTCTTATAATGACACACTAATGTTGCTCTCTTGTAGCGGGGTGTAAAAACATAATTCCAATGTTCGCCTATTGAGGTTTGTTTGATGGCCATACACTGAAGAAAAGCCGGACACTGACATTTTTAGTGCTCAGTTCGTGGTCATCAAAGTTTATATCACAAACTTTTAATACTGAAGTTGATTAAATTGTATTTGGTAGGAGGGGAAGGATGTGAACCTGGGGTGGGTAGGCGAATTGGCTATAATTGGATTACTGAAGACATTAAAAAAATACAATTTTTATAATCTCGCTTCAAGAATTCAAATGTAAATGACGTGAAAAAGTTCAGCAGTCATTTCCTGGCTTATTCCGCACTAAGTAATGAATACAGCATACAGGACTAGGCTACGCTCTCATCCAAAAAATAAATTATTTTAGTTTTTTCATGGTCGCTAAGTACAGTTACTTTGTTTCTACTTCATTTAGAAACGACAATGTAAAATGCCGATAAGGAGAAAAATTGTCAGGTAGACAAAATTTAAATGAGCATAGATGAGGAAAATGCAATGTTTCGTTATGAAACTTAAAGGGTTGGTGTAATAAAGGAATAAAAGAAAAATAAGTTCACTGGATGGCTGCTGGGAGCTGGAAAAATAATAAACGATAGCATCAGTGCATCCACCAGCATTTACGAAAAACAAGTGGCAACATGAAGGAGTAGCTAAAACCAATTTCAGGTTGACCACGAGACTCGCAACTATCAGTATTCCAATAATTCAAAAGTCAAACACTAAGATGTCGTCACTGTCATATTTTCTCCGGACGTTTCGGAAACATTGCATCTTCAGGACAAATTATACAGAGCTGGGTACTTCAGACATCTTCTGACTCAATTGGTCAAATATTTTCGCTAATTTGGCAGTATTCTCCAGTAGAGTTTCATTAATGAAGTTCGCAGGCGGTAAAAGCCTGAAAACTTTACTGATGTTAAGATTTATAATTATTTTATACCTATGCCACTGTGCAACCTGAGACCATATATTGGCTTTTTAGTCTTATAATACCTACTAATTTTACTAATGCAAGTAAATGTTTTAATCTTCTGCAAACAAGACACGTTTTTCACTTACATCATTGTGTACATCATTTATCCTTAATGTGAAAAGTATATATGCTATTAAGGAACCTTGGTGACATCATATATAAACAATAACAGTTTAGAACACACTCCACCTTCACAAATTACTTGCAAACTATTTTCCAAATATGTATTTAACATAAGAAATGCAGTAATGCGGATTTAATGACAACTCTCTTCTAAAGTAAAAGATAATGGTTGATACAAATGTTGCTTTTCTCTTACCAGAAATTGAAGTGTTCAATTATGTTTATATTGTCCAGACCTGGCTACACTCACAGCTTTCTACACTAGTAAAAAACGAATAATATTTAGGGATGCTGGATAGTTATTACAAGCAAAGTTCGTGAAAACAGTCAAAATTACTGCATTCCTGTTGGTTTCACGTGCCAGTGACTCTGCTTAGATGGTTAATGGGCAGATTCAGATTATGGTGTTACGATGACGTGAACACGCCTTAATTATATGGCCCGCTTGAAGACGCCACCACATGTAAGCTGTAATCA